ACCAAACAGTCTTGTACCAGATTCCAGATTGGCCGTTGGACGTCTTACATGGTAAAGTGACATTTTTGCCTTCTCTTGTTGTAATTCCCGACGCTTCGCTAGTTGCATCTGTGATTGAAATATCAAAAAAAAAAAAAAAATGATTACGCATGCACGATGTAGTGACGAGGAAAAGAAGCCGTATTTTAGTTAATGCAAGATATAGAATAAACAAGATAAATAGCTCTTACCCGGGAGTTAAAATCGACTTTGAAGTTTTGATAATCGGAGGGAGATTAGGTTTGAGAGAGACTGGTACCCGCAACGGAAGACATTGCTCGAGTTTGGTGAGAAGATGGTTCTCAACCGAGTTTCATACCTCTGTTTTGTAATTTAAAGAAGTTGCTGATCGGAGAATTGACTCAAGGACTTTCGTAACGGAAGACTGGGACCACATAATTTTAAAACCATAAAAGCCCTCGAACCAGTCTTCGCTTTTAAAAAATAGCCTAGTTCCAGTCCTTTTGAGAGACTAGTGAGCAATATATTATAAGAAACAGCGTTTGCATGAGTTAAACGCTTGAATCGTTCATAAACATTTGTTTTAAACATTAATTTTTCTTAACATATTTTCTTTAACCTGTCCCAGCCATTCAATTACTGCACAGAGCGCAAACGTCTCGGCTAAGATACGTGGAAAGAAACTGGGAAAAAAGGTGGAGAGACGGTTAGTTCTTAATCATTCCTATTGTTTTCGCACTTCGATTTAGTTTCGCCCAAACACTTAAACACCGTCGCATAACTAAATCTTTGAATAATTTTCAAATTCCTCCTTGCAAATATTTGTCATTTGTCATGTTTTAGGACTGCCTTTTTATCTCGTTTGTTATGTATTGTATACCAGCAAGTTCCACATTTCTAGAAATTTTCATCACTGGGAGCTGAATTTAATTTACGTTTCGATTAAGTATGATAAAAGTGAAAGCTTCCGGTTAATTCCAAGTTATTTATATCCGTTCGTTCACTATGTTCATAACTTTGCCACTTTATAAAGTCTCTGGCCGCAGTCACGACCATGTATAACGATTTCCAAAAGGTGCTTTAAAACCTTGCTTGATATGCATCAATTGATGGAAGAAAAATAAGAAAAACGTGTTTTCGAACTTCAAGCGATAAGTTCTTAATTGCCGATTTTATGACAAATAAAATATGTTCTAACATACAATTCTTACAAATTACACCCTACATTGCCGAAATAATGACGCTATCGTTGGTAGGGTAGATAAGCACGCAATATTTTGTCGTTAATTTTTAAAGGACATCATAAGTGATGACATACTTTTTTTTTGTAAAAACAAAACCCACATATCATGCGCTGATATGGATATACCGATGGGGGTCACGTTTCAACTACCTCTAAAATTTGAGTGTGAAAAAAGCGTTAAAGTAGTAGAAATAAGGAAAGAAAAAATGAAACGAATCGTGCTGCAATGTGTCGGGGAAACGCGAAACTCGAACAATCACTGTGTGAAGCACTCGGGTTTTTTGGGGGTGTAAATGACGAATTAATAAGTCACAGCTGAGGTGATAGTGGAATTAAATCTTCCCAAGGAAAAACAAAAGAAAAAGAGAGAAAAGAGAAAGGCAAGAGAGCAAATGTACGTTAATTTCATCAGATTTGTCTATTTTGGACGCCTCTCTACCTGGATGATTTATTTTACGCGAAGAAAATCATCTTTGCCTTCAAGAATGTCTTCCTTGTGAGCTCAAAGCTGAATCCACAAAGCAAGTTTGATAACTCATGGAATTTTCAACTGCCTCTCAGTGTCCCTTTTAACCATTGCTCAGTGCCTCAGTCGAACTTTCCCTTTCGAACGAGATATTTAAGTCGTTTATTCGGGAGTATTTTTTGGCACCTGACAGTTTTGATTAAACTCTAGTTAACTGTTAACAACGGCCCTAATTAAATGAATATGTCTCTTTCTATAACTGGCAAAATATCTCGGTGTTTCCGCACAAAGCAGTCGGTTCTAAGTGCCTCTTCAGTATAGCACATAGGGAAATACAGAGTGAATTTGGAGAAAAATAAACAAACAGCCTTTGGTATTACCGAGCTTCTATTTTCCTCCTTAAGAATTACGTACAAGTGTTAATATCATTTGAAAGTTGGACGGAAATTTTGGGTAGATTTTCTTTATTCAAATGTGTTAGAGATGTGGCTTTATTTGTTGTTGTTGTCAATTGTAGCAAAAATAAATCTTTGACAGAAAGTTTTGATGACTGTAAATTACCTTTTTGAGTTTGTTATTTCAGCGACTTCCGAAAATGGGTGGTGTTTTATATTTATAGGAGACCCATTCCAATTTTGAATTATGTCCTTGCGATTTTCTCAATTTGTACCCAAAGTCAGCAAACGTCCAAACATTAGCAATGATTAAGGAGAAACAATAGGACTCACCTTGGAGACAAAAGAGACACGCTAATAAAAAGAACAGCAAGTTGAGAACTTACATCTTGCACCGGTAATAAATCACCTCTCTTCCACGGAATTGTCTTCAAATCACCTGGAAAAGATAATCCTGTAGTGTAAACAGGTTCACGTGTTCTCTCAAACAACCACTGAGATAAACATATCTCATCTGAACGCATGTTCTTCAAATCAAAAACAAAGTTTGCCCGTTTAATTAACTTGGGTCAAAAAAGCCTCTCACGATCTGTTTATGAGGTACGATTTCACTATTTGTGATTTAATTAGAAGCAGCAGAAAAACCAATCTTTAAAAATTAACACTTTAGTCTAACCTTTTTGTAAGAGCATGCATTAGATGTGGGACTCTAGTTTCCAAAACGCAATAAAACATCTTTTCATGCAATTAGTTTCATCGGTATTCCCTTGGAATGTTTCCATGACTTGTACTCGACTTACAGACCTCCGAAAAACTCCAATACTGCGTTATCTTACCCTGGAAATCACTGATAAGAGGTATATCTTGACGCTAAACTGTTTATCATAACATCACACGTACCGCAATAATTGAGAGAAGTCATGCATTTGCAGGCGAAGTTTGCGTCACCAAACCAGAATTACCGATAACAGAAGTGTCCGCAATTAGATCAAAAAGTTGATCAGTTTGCGTGACCGGTGAATCACCGAATTCAAAATAAGTGTCTTTATCAAGGCCATCAATGCCTTTAGTTGAAATTGAAATTAAAGGTGCCAGAGGAAATGAAATATTTGTCTTTCACTGGCTCATGTCTCCAATTCTTTGTCATTTTTAGTAACTTCCTGCCTTGAAATCACAAATACAACATGATCCCTCCTGTAAGTGGATAAACGGAATATTGTCTTACCGCGCCTACAAGGCTACGTTAAGACTTTGTGGGTTTCTTTACATAAACGCTAAACCCAGAAGATTTCAGTTGAAACAGACAAGATAACTAGTCCATTCATAAGCGTATTCACCCTTTAAAATATGGAAATTTATCCCAAAAAAATAGCGAACTAGCCAATCAGAGCTTGTACGGTGGAATGCGTAGCGAACATGAAAGTAAGTGGCAAAAAGACGGCGGCAGTCCTAACAATTACGCATGTATAAGGTTCCATATGGTATTAATTGCCAAATATAACACTTATTCAGGCATTAACCTTTTCACTGCCGGGAGCAACCGAAAAGGAAACTCATCGCAAAATAAAAAGAATAGACAATAGCACGTCGAAATAAGAATCTAAGTTGAAATTTGCCATTTCGCTCAACATCAAAGCTCCACTTTCCTTCTGTTTGTAATTGAGTTACGAGAAGTCTTGACCACAACCAAGTAAGGGGCCGACCATTTAGCTTTTGAGGGGTGGGTGATTTTGAAAAAAAAATTCCTGCAAGCGCTTGTTGGAAGAAAAAAATTGCATGCAGCCCAAATGTAACAGAAAAAAATGTCAAAAAATCGGAAAAAAATATCCTGCACAGCAGATTGCTAGAAAAAAAATGTCTTGATGACCAGAAATCACCCACCCACCCCCCACTCAAAAGTTAAATGGTCGGCCCCTAAATATGTGGCTATCATTTGAAGTATACTGATGACACACAAAACGAAAACGCTTGGATATGAAAATCTGCGTAAAATATCCGGCCTTGCTTCTAATAAAGGCTCACATTTCCTATTTTTTTATTTCCTTTAGCGCTGAAATATGTCGACGGGAGTCGCAACAAAAAAGGTTTTTGTTGCGATGTGAAAAATTACCTTCATCGCGAAGGGAGCCAAAAAATTCTCGCCGAGTAGGAAGGAAAATAACAAAATTCTAAGAATTTGCCTGGAATGAACAAAGATGTTTATGGACAAAGAAGATTGGAGTGGATTTCAATCAACAAACTTGAAAAATTGAGGGCAACATCTATCAAGAGGCGTTAACTGTGGCGTAATTACTTAAATATCTTTTCCATAAACAAAGTTGTTCTTCGTCGTGGTTATATGATTAAATGAACGGTTAATCGTTTGTTTCACTACGTAGAGTTGGGCTATCAATTGTATTGAGCGCGACGCTTCGACCGCCATACTTTTAGTCGTCGCCTATACTGCTAGACTTCACCTACACGGCCAGTCTGTCTGCCAGTCTTATATACTGCAAGTCTTCGCCTCGATACTGTTAGACTTCGCCTTAACTGCTAATCTTCTCCTACACTGCTAGTCTTCCCTTATACTGGTAGACTTCGTCTATACTACCAGTCTTTGTCTGTTAGTCGTCGACTGACCAAGCCTAACCGTATAGCTGTCGAAACTTCACCATCAATACAATTGATAGCCTAACTCTATATCGCCGTAAGAAAAAAAACATAAAACGTTCATTTATCTTTTTTACAGTAAGTGGATGTCTCCATTTGATATTAACATCACGACGACGTTGACAGTTATTAAATGAAACGATCAGAATTTGCCTAAAAGCGAAAAGCGTGAAATGTATTCCTATTCAGAAATCAAACATCCCGCCCATTCATCCACAGCAAGCTATGACAATTATTTAAAAGGTATACTTCCGAAATCTAATTGTTCCCGCGACCACGGCATTGACAGGTCATAGAAAAGAATCTCAAAGACGGCATATTTTGTATTCTATATCCAGCACTTTTTTGCCATTTTATATACAAATTACATAATTTTCAATATTTAATTTAGGAAAAAATTTAACAGCGTATATCAGTGAAGAGAGAAAAGATATTGATAAGCCGGTACTTTCACAATGAACTAAATTACGTCACAAATCATTTTTCTGAGGATCTTTTTCTAGAACCGACCACCTGTTTGACGCTACACCTTGTCAAAAACTAGCGGAGAAAATTGATGTTTTTTCCTAATTGCCAGTGCGTTTCACATTCTATCTTTTCTTTTTCGTTCTCTCCAACACAACTTGATACAAAAGAGAACTTTTCATTTTACCTGTTACGCGGTAAAATATTTCGTAAATATGATTCTTCAGCGGAACGTGTTTTAATTCAAATGTCACGATGAACTTCCCATAAAAGCCTTAGAAGGGGTCCCAGCTGTTTATATGGTTTTACTTTCGATGACAAAAGTTCATTTAACATTTAGGGAGGACAAATAGGGGCAGGAATGCTTCAATTGAAGTGTCCGAATATCAGTTAACTGTCAGGGTTAATTGACAAATTGTAAATGATTATTTGTAAAAGAAATCGAATATTAAAAAGCGTTCGAGGTGCCTTCGATCACTCAGTCACCCTTGCCAAAATACTATAACATTCCAATTTCGTAAAGGTCATTCAGTTGAAGGGCGCCATTGCGCCAGAAGGGGGAAAATTAAATTTAGTGAGCGCGGGATCTGGGTCGGTCGACGGTGCCAATCTTCCGGTATTTAAACAGTTTTATCATCTGTTAGTTTAAATGCCAATAAACAACCTGGTTTTACAGTTAAAAGTCAATTACAACTAAACCATCCACATTTTTTTTAAGGAACGTTTAAATTATACGATTAAGTAAATTTCGAAATCAGATTTTGGTCTCCCTGTGGATTTTGCCGCCGCAGACTGCAGTCCTTTAGCTTCTGTAACAAAAACCACAAATTATTTTGCTCATTAATTCGCCACCGTGGTTGTTCGTTGTAAATAACTCTAATGTTACCTAAGCGAACCTAGCCAACACTTACCGCCGGACTCAAATCAGGGTTGATTTGATCAGCACGAAATTTCTGGGTATCTTAAGCATCTGTAAACAACACGTTAGGGCGCAAACGACAACTACAAAACCGGTTTACCATAGCACTTTCTCTAAATGCGTCTATGCACGGATCTAATTTGGGCGTATACGGCTTCATTTTTTATTCCCGGTTTCTGGATTTATGTGCCAATCTAAACAAACAGGCAAAATGACACAGGCAACCAAACGCGCTGACAATAAATGAGTGATACTTAAAGCTGATCGCGTACAGTGAAAATTCTTTTCTTTGGAATGAACCCGAAGAACATAGAGCTTGACTATTAGAAAGAATATGTTCACCGAATCTCGTGACTTCTGAGGTCAAGTTACGACTATCACTGGTCACCCCAAACAATTCTAATTCTAAAATCGTGCAATGATACCTCCCGAACATCGATACGCATACGAAGTAAAAAACCGTTCCCGCGAAAAAAAGGTAATTAAATCTACTACACGATTCCAAAAAGGACAACGGCTAAACACAAAACGGTTCGGTACTTAAACCAATCACTTCATGGTTTTGTTGAGTCATGGCAATTAACTTAACTAAGTTTACACAATGTTTACCCAGCTTGTTAGTTATTGGTAATGTGTCTTAGCAAATTCCATCCTACCTGAACTCGTGGCTTAATAAGTCACAATGCACAAGATCACCGTAGGGCCTTCTATGTCGATTTGATACTTCTCCAATCTCCGTTTCCACCATACAAGCCTCGCCGTGCAACAGACAGCTCTATGCTGTCTGTGTGTAATTTCTGATACGTGATCATGACCCGTGTGGCTCTCAATACAGGATAAAGGAATCATCGCGACAAATCCGAAAAAAACAGTTTATGACTTTATCTTTTTAAGGTGACAACTAAAACCAAATCCCTCTTAAAACTCGAGACTTGTTCCAGAAGTAAATTAACCGCCAACAACTTTTTTTTACCGCCCCCCCCCGGTCTTAACTCGTTGCTGCACGCAAACATGATTTGTGATGCAACACAAGAGTGAAATGTTCAACACTTTTCGATATTCCTTGAGTATCAGTTTCTTTTCTCAATTATAGTTAGCATTAGCCCTATCTTACAAAACCAATGTTGTTTTTTTCTGCATAAATTTAAGCACAGGAAAGATTTTTGACCCGGAAAGTTTTAATATTTCTAAAGCTCTTCAACGGAATTTCTACGAAGATCAAAGTTTAAATAATATCGCTTTCTCATTTTAAGATATTTCGTTTTATGTCTCTAGCAAATGAAAATTTGGATTTGATTTCTATTCCTGGCGAGAGCTACTTCCTTTAACTCTGAGAAAACGTTTATTTGGAGGGAAACTGCTGAAACCACAAAGTTATTTTCGTTTTAATTCCGCCCCTGTCAACATAAACAGCTTGTTTTTCAAAGTAAGTGCTGTTACCCTTAAAGGATGTTAGCTTGCACCTTTAAGTTTGCTTTATAATTACATGTCTGAATTTAGAACGCTTCATGTAGAACGCTGTGATATGTTCAAGGTTTTACGTGCCAGACCAAGCATATTTAGAACAATACTAATTCTTAATTGCAAATTAATGGAGGGTACAATTGACGGCGCCATAAGGTCTCTATCAATGAGCGGCAAAGATTTCACGCATAAGACAAATCTAAAGAAAAGTTGAATTTTACATCAACGAAATTGAAAGAAATTCTTCCGAAAACACTTATTTTGTTCGCTTCATAAATTAAGAAATGCACTAATAAATGAATGAAGAGATGCTAACTGAACTAGGTACTACGCTTTGACACCAGAGAGTACACGCGAGTTTCATTTATTACAGGAAACGCAACAACGTCGATTCGACGAGTATAACTTCTAATCCTTTCAAATCCTATCATCTACTCCCAAAGAAACTCCGCAATGGGAAAATGAACGAAAACTGACAGCGTCAAAATAAATCATCTCTAAAAGAACAATAAACCGATTTCACGAAGCTCTCATTAACTCGTTTTAGCATGTAAGCGAGAAATGGCATTTAGTGGTGGCATCTGAGCAGTGCAATCGTGTTTGCAGAAGTTTTCTAGACTGGAAGCTGCCGTAACAGATGGCACGGATTGGTATTATTCCAATTTCTGCGAATTCAATTCGGTTTTTCTTCATCTTAGTTTTCTACTCGTCTCAGCATCTCTAACAAGGAAGTCAAAATGATTTTTTTCTTGAAAAAAAAAAAAAAAAGGATGGTTCGTTTTACGCTGATGGTTCGTTTTACACTTTTTTTGATCCTTTTCGATTCTAGATTTGTCACAAACAGGTCTGGTATTAAACGCGATATATTGCTGCATTATTCGGCAACTTTTTATCGTATTTATCTTAGTCGCTTCAGTCCAAAAATAAAACCACACCAGGTTAAAACTGATTGGTATCAGGCTGAAAAGGGTTTTATTCTCCCCGTCACCAATGAGTTAAGCTGAAAAAGTTACCTGAAGATGCATAAGATAACCTGTGCCTCCGACCCATACTTTGTAAAGGTTCTGACATTTTTAGAGATTTGTAACGTTATATAATTTTAATACCAGTAAGGTATGGCATAAACGAGCTAACAGTCTAGTTAAAAACCACCGAGGTCACTTGAAAAGTTCTTAACAAAATAAACGATTAGCTACATTTTTCTTGGATTAGCTGAATCACCTCTAAGACTCGTTAGTATTTTATTAGAAGAAAAAGCCATTGACCTTTCAAAGAAACGGAAGAGGAGGAATAAAATTTCAGTAACAGTCGATCAAACGACGAAATGAGAGCTACTGTGTGACGAAAATCGGCCGCCTGTGTCTGCAGTGGTTTTTACTATTTTCCGACCACCCCTGTGAATAGGCTTCATTCATCTATAATCTGTAGTATGCACGTACATTTCCTCTCTCATCGATCCTCATTTGAGTAAATTTAGTCTTATACATTAATGAACAAGTAGTCGCTGTAGCGCGCTCTGGGCCGTGTCAAAGCACATAGTACGTGATAAGCAATTACGTTTGGCAACATTTATATTACCCACTAACTGTGAAATAACTATTTGATTTAGCTAACACGGCCAAACGCACGTCATCAAGTTGCCCCATATGGAGAAAAGCAGTAAGAAACTTCAAGAGGGCTTTATACGTATCCATTTCATTTAACGAAAGTTTCTCCAAACGCTAGAAAAAAGAGAAGACTTAAACAAAATGGCCATTAAAAACAACAGATATATCTCTCGAAACAAATGTAAAAACCGGAAATGTTCGACTTTCAAATCAGAAGCGTATTTTCTACAATCGTGCGTTCTGGTTTTCTGTAATTTTTTCAGTGCAACATCACCGGATGCAAAGCTGAGCTCTTGGTTCTAAAATTTCAACCAAAGCATCTAAGTCATGTTGCTATCTACTGAAACTGTAAAAGCGTTTCAAAATAATTTTTGACCCGAAAATAGATGTCTCGAGGACAAAACTCCCCAAGTGACCTCGGACAACAATGTGTTACGCAAAAGATATAGAAAGGAACGCCATATATTGTCTGAGTGTCGAATGATAGAACACTAAAAGGGGTGTCAAATACCGCCCATACCACAGATCTGACCCATAAACATACTGAAAGGAAATACGAACATAAATAACAGGATTCTACACCTTTCTTATCGCTGATTATCTCAAAAAATGTCCCTCGTTTGATTTAATTTTTGTCTCTTGAAGTGCTACTCTATCGAAAGCGTAGACACTAATTAAAAAGGTCTTCTGAGAAGATCGTGCTGTTAAAAATTCGAACGCCTGTGCTGTGGCATTCAGTACGGGAAATATCTACCAACACCTAAGAATTCAAATATCGTATCATAACCACAAGATCACATGGAAAGATCTCAATGAAAGCTCTGGAGAACTGTTTGCCCAGTTTCTTTTCTCTGTTGTCAATTTATTTAAGGGAAGGAATTTTAGCAATTAACACTGTCGCGATTTTGTTTGTCAACTTAATCTGAACACTTTCTAGCGATATTTCAGCAAAGTAACTGTCACGTTAGACAGAGACGTACGACATTTTGTTTAGAGAGAAAGCATGTTTTTATACAAAATCTTAAAATAGCCATTCCAAATTCGAATGATACTGTACACACGAGTAAATTAAAATGCACAGAATCGATCCACTGCGACCTCTTAGATATTCTAAATTGTCTGAAAACTGACCTATAGTTGGAGTGCTATTGTTCGTTGCTTTGTCGAAAAGCTTAACTCACAGGAAGTTGTTATGGCTACTTAAATGAGAAGAAAGTAAAATAAACTCGAACATCGAACAATACAGGAAGGTATGAGCAAATTTGAACAAGCCCGTGAGAAATATGCTTGTTTGCTTAAGAATCGGCTGAGCGCACTGTATCATATCAGAGTTCAAAACGATTATAGCCGGTAACTTTCCCATATCTGGTCACCGAAATTCGTCCACTCAAAACAGCTTTTTACGCTCTCTTACATCAACCACTGGTGAAGCCAAATGCGTGTTGCCAACATATCATTTTTTAAGTGTGTTGCTCACGCACGCGAATTTCCTGTACGTGAGGTCCACAAAAATCAACCAAGGTAACGCGTTTGATTATAACTGAATTACCTCTCACCAGCCTGAATTCTGGGTACTAAGCGAATTTCCCTACTTACCTCTATGATCTCATAGCCTGCGCGGTTGTGCTTTCTTTACACAGATTTCGTTCAACAGTCCACTTTGAGCGCCCCACGGTCGTGAACTTTAAGCTCTTTCTCTGTTAAAGAACGACTGACGCAGAAGCGTAAACCTATTGACAGTTCCCTGCGATACAATCTCGCTGAATACAAATTCCTGCTGGGCTTTCAGTTCCTCGAAAATCTCCTAAAATGAATGTAAGACTCTCCCTCACTCAACACAAAGGAAATAAAACAGGATGAGATGCTTGAGAAGGACAAATGATCAGCGCCGTCTCTCGCGCTGCCGAGAAAATGATACTTCGATTTAGAGCACCGTTCTTCAACGCGGTCTCAGAAATGCTGTCACTTCATTATTAAATCTTTGTTCTCTCACTTGCTGGCCATAATTGACATTAATTGGCTGACTGGATGGCTAATTCAACAGATCATCAGCTACTTTTAATCAGCATTGTTAAACAGCCAATCAGCGATCAGTGTTGTTTAGAAAGAAAACTGAGCTTCATATCCTAAAATAAAAGGCCAGATGGAAAAGTAACAGGACTGTGGGAAACCAATCTCAGAGAGCCTTACTCCAGATGTTTCCATAAAAACTAACCTCGCACTGAGGTTTGTTTGCTTAAAGCAAAAGCTAACAGGAATTTCACGCGAAGTACCAAACACTGTTTACAGGCTCCGAAAAAATTTCGAGTAAATAGTTTGCAAACGAACAAATCGTGCAAAATTTTTTCATGTAAAAAAGTCACATCAGCCGATGTTTCCGACAACCACAAAATGCATTTCAATTGATAAAGATCTAAATCATTCCTCATTAAGGACATGTTACCTGGGGCGTTGAGCTTCAAAAGCAAGACACGTCTTTAACAGTAGAAATTTCTACACTTTTAGTACACCATTATTCACGGAAAGGAAGAAAATTTATAACTTAAAAAAAAAATTTTTTCTAATCTTGTGCAAATTCGTGATACGAAGATCGTTATTGCAAAAAAGCGACGTGACATTCAATTTCAGTAGGAAATGTCACGCCTTATGAAAGCTACAACTTGAAAATTACACTACTCTGTGTTTACAACTGGCTATGCGGGATAAAGACGTGAGGCGGCCGCCTCTAAATCCTTGCGGTTTTCTGCATTAAAATTCCAAGACATACGACTAACGTACAAAGGCCATGAAGTATCTGATCACTTTCACAAATATCCCAGAGATCTGTATAAATATTTTCCTTCAAATTAGAGGGAATACAAACATTCCAGAGTGTGAGATTTCTACTAAACATATTGTCCGTCGAGTTAGCGCCTTGTTGAGAATTATAATCGATTGCGGGGAATATCCTGCAACAACCTCAACAATGGATGTCGATTTGTAATGCAATCCGATGCTTTGTTCTTGCGCAAACTGAACTTTAGCCTTTCTCTCTTCAAAATCCTTGGCTTATAACCGCAAAGAAAGTCAGACAGATTTCGGAAGTAATCCTTGCAGTCATATCTTTCTCGCTCCAGAACATACTGCGGTAGGTTATTCGATTGAGTAAAGTTGTATTTTTGTGCCATCATTATTTATTTACAATGACACCTACAGTCCAGAAACACTTAGCACCAGACCGATTAATCCCCTTCAGCCTCAAAGATTGTCTTTCACTGAGCTATCAAGATATCAATGTCATCTAGTTCTTTATGGATACTTTAGACGCGGATAAAAGCTGAAATCGGGGAAGATGAAGGTGGTGTTTTGGTCCGTATATGCTTTTACATCAGAACAATGACCGAAGCTCGAGGGAGAGGACAGCTGCTTACCAAATTATTCAATTAATTTGTCATTTTTTGATTTGTTTCCTTTGTTTTTTAGCTTTTAATTGTATTTTCTCTCTCTCTCTCTCTCTCTTCATGTCTTTTTAAGACTCTTCCTTGTTATGCATTTCAGTTTACAGAAAAATCATTTCTTGTAAAATGAAAAAAGAGTATTGCGTAAGAAGATTTAATTTTATTGTATGAAGCGCCAAAGTAGACAGGTTCAACCGCTGGTTAAGTGCCGAGATGACCACCAATCAGTTAAAATGTTTTTTTAACTAAGGAATTGCATGATTCGTTTGCCGCCCGATATATTTCTTTTCATATCTATCGGGAGGAACGATCTTACCTTGGTAGTTTCGTTGAACTAAGTAGAGATTTGGTTTAAATTTTCTCATAGCGAAGCGATTACAAATTATTCATACATCAAGTGGTCCGATCCAGCCCGTTACTAAAGACGTGAGAATTCCTTCTTTCTTAGTTCTAGGGTGTTTGGAAGGAATATTTTTAGTAAAGATAATAGTGGTAAGAATATTCGGGGTTAGCAGTTTCCGATTTGCGTAGTAGAGGGTTATTTACGTAACGGTATGACAGATTTCCTATTTGCGTTCCTGAATTTAGTATTCGTAGGTCAGAATAATGCGATCATTCCACCTCAGAAGCCCCTACCGCACCCAAATCGTCACCGGTTCTGGTTTTAGTATTACTATCCTTCCTTTTTGCTGAGTCACTTAACTTAGAGCCTTTACAACCCTACAGGCACGTAAAAATAGTTTAACTTAGACAACTGGAGACTTTTTAATGTGATTTTCAAGGCAACGGTTAGAATTGCCAAACCTCCAACTTACTCTGCATTTCGTGCCCTATCAAATTTATACCACCTGATAAGTTTGTCTTGTATTCCACCTCCGTGACCTGATAGATTCACTACGTGTCGCCGGCAGACTCCACATAAAACCGCGATTTCCCTGTGGCAAAACGCTTATCTTAAGCGTTATTTCTGAATAACAGATCCGTTTTGTCATCAGAGCCGCACTAAGAGAAGTCGTTCTGATCTCAGTTAACACAGAGTTCTTATCCTCTGAGCTTACTCGTTTTACAACTTACTAGTACGGCTAATGAACCGAAAATCCTGCTCGCACGGCCTAAGAACCTTGTCGGTTATAGATGGCTATCGTAAAGGTGCGTCGCCGGCTGTGCTACTGATCATCGACCTGGCCTTTGATAAGAGGCTATAGTTGTACACTGTTATACTCCAGTTGGCTTTAAACTGTCCTAAACCCTCCAAGGTGCGGTTATTATTAAATCAGTAAATAAGTAAAACCACAGTCTAATGATATATAAACTGCTTTAGAGATATGATTTAACCCCATGTTTGAAAGCTCTCAAACAGTTATGATTACGGTTTCCCATTCCCGACAGAGGGCCAGTGGGCAACTTCCAAAAATAATAGACGCCTCTATAAGCCGATCGGCGAGAGAGTTTTAGCCATGCGTATGTTTTTCACTGAGTGCCAAAATATTTCCAAAATCTCGATCAGTTATGCAAAATATATCGGGAAAATATCCATCACTAGACGGTAACAAACGGAAATTAAAATGGCTATCGTATTATGGTTGAAATATCATGATGACTAAGATCTATGCAGGACGATTGTCAAAATATTCGCCGGTACTGACAGACCAAACCCATCTGACTCCTGAACCGTTTTGAGCCCGGGTGAACAGGTTTCGGAAATTTACTGAGACCTTTGTTTAAAATTAACTATCAAGCATAAAAAATTCAGCTTAGCGTTTTCAAATCTTGTATAATGCTAGTCATTTTAAATAAGAAAATTGAAAGTTTTTCGCCAAGATCGCCTCGCGAGGATCCTCGCGCAACGCTCGAACAAACTTGCCGTCTATACCGTCTGCATGCTGTGAAAGTGCCTTGGAAATTTCGAAATTTAACATCAGTGGTATATCATGCTTAGTTCTCGGATAATTAGGCTAGTTTCCATATCTGGTCATAGTTGTTTGCCTTGCGACGAAAGAGAAAAAAAAAACAAAAACAATAACTAATACAATGTTTAGACTCAGTACAGACGGAGGACGCCATGAGTTCAAATTACAACGGAGTCACATAGAGGTTAAAGCGTTACGAATGTAGGGGTGTGTGTGCAGGGGTTGGGAAGGGAGGGGGGAGTGGGTCATCGAAAACCAAGCCGACTCGTGCTTAAGTAAAATTTCCCAAGAATCTTTTGACTTGGTTTTTAGCAAAAGAACTTCTTTGCAACCCGCGTCAGAGTCCAGCAAGTCCGAGACCGTTTGTTATTGACAAAGTCAAAAGAAAATAGAAGAACTTTATATTCTCCTGGCAATGAATAAGAAGCCAGTTTTTTAACAAAAGAAAGGTTCCTATAATGTGTTATATTAACAAAGAGCGATCCCAATAAAACATTTCGTCGAAAGCCTTCCTCTTTCGGATCGCGAAACTGAATATTTCTCCGAACCAGTTGTCTCCGCAAGTCGAGGAGGGCTCTAGCCTCGCCTCAGTTTCAAGATCTACGTCCTTTTAATCTTTGAATCAAGCCTTCCTTTTTAATTGACAAAAATTCAGAATTAAAAGGTGAGATCTGCCGTATAGATGATAGACTTCAATATTATCATTTGTATTCTACAGTAGGTGATATAACCGAGTTCTATTGGTATTTAGTATAATTTCAGAGCTGAGCAAAGGGTTTCCAGCAATCTGATTGGTCGAGCGGTTCCTTAGATGACGCTATATAAACCGTTCCACGCGGTTTATATAAAATGTTAGAGTAAAATGTTAATAAATGTTACTAAAACGTTATGATTTTAGAAATTTCCCTGTTGTCCAGCTCTGAAATTATACTAAAACAATTATTCGCCGAAGGTGAGGTGTCAAATAATCCCCTCGACTTCGTTTCGGGGATTATTCGACGATATTCACCTCACCTTCGGCGAATAATTGTTAAATACAAATTGCCATCATTCTGGTTAGGTAACTGAGTTGGGAACCAGCTTTGCATTCCTTTCTTTAGACTTTAAGTTAAGTACATTCAAAGTCACTAGCTAAGAATTATATTGAAAAACTTTTCCGCTGAGAACAGTGGTGCCATATTTATTTACGAGCTCTACGGTATTGTCCGGTAAAGACATAGGAAATTGAAGTTTATTTTTTGAATTAAAGCAACAGACTGCGTTTGCTATCGGTTTACCAGCGTAATAACCCGCTAAAGATGCTGGGAGAAAAGTTTAGTAAATCACTCGCCTCCGGCTCGTAAACCAATAGAAAGTGCGTTCTATTGATTCATTGATTCTAAAAGATATTGCACCAAACTTTGACAACTCACCAAGGCTAAATTGAGGTAACGCGGACTGTTTACCTTTTGAGTACATATGATCGTCAGCATACGTGCTGGCTATTAATTGAATTTACGTTCGCACGGTAGAAATTCTATTTTAGGGAGAAAATACATCCAAAAGAAGCCAATTCGAATCGTGAAGTCAAGAGGAAATGTCTGTGACAGGTAAACAGTAAACCATTATTTACTTACGTCCGATTTTTATAACGAATG